CTTGGGTACAGGGATGATGGTGGAACATTTGAAGCAGGAGGGGACTTCACACAGCTCCAGGGATCTGTTGAAGATCAGTGTGAAGATGGATGATAGCTGGACAGCACAGGCTTTGAGGCAGGCTGGAGAGACACCGTCTGGGCCTTTGGCTTTCCTTATCTTCTGCTTTCTGAAGACTTTGCATACATCCTCTTCACAGATCTTGAGTGCAGGCTGAGAAACAGTAGGGGTGAGGGAGGGTGTTGATGGCTGTGCTGTGAGACGGTCAGAGTGGGTGTGGGGTGTCAGACCAGGCTTTTGCTTTTCAAACCTGCAGTAGAACTCGTTCAGGTCTTCAGCCAGTTGTTGATTGGCCTCAGTGCTGGGGGATGGGGTCTTGTAGCGGGTGATGGCTTTCAGGCCTTTCCACACTGATGTAGAGTCATTACTTGAAAGCTGTTTTTTTTTAGCTTTTCAGAGTAGTTTAACTTTGCCACTCTAATCTCCCTATTCAGTGTGTATTTGGCCTGTTTGTACAAGTCTTTGTCCCCACTCCTGTATTTTGAATGACATTCATATAGTTGAAATTGCTGGAGATGATCAGTGGAAAGATGCTGATGAGAGATTCAGAGACAGACTGAGGCTGGATCATCAGACTGGATCTCTGACCATCACAAACATCACAATCACAGACTCTGGAGATTATAAACATGCTGTTATTTTACTAAGTAACAAAGTGAAAGTCGGGTAAAAATGCCACAGACACACATTGAAGGAGGAGCAGGAGCCATATAGAGACCAGAGCTGTGTTTCTTAAAAGCATCGTGAGATAAGTTGATCGTAGAGACCGTTCGTGGCAACTGATCTTACGATGTAACCTAGGCTTACGATGGTTTTGGGAAACGCAGTCCAGAAGATCAAACTTGAGGTGAGCCTTTGCTGCGATTTTGTTTTAGCTGCTTTTCCCATTTATCCACCAGATGGCGCCATTTTCCCGTTTAAATCAAAGTAGAAAGAGGTAAATATCAGTCAAAGATACCAATAAAATGATTATGAGTCAATCTATTGGTAATAATGACCGTCTGTCTTTATCATTCAATATCCACAGTCATACAACTCAAGCACAACATGATGACAAGTGAGAAAAATACATGTAGGCCTATCTTATTGTAATGATCTGTAAGCTGTTTTAGACACTGTTCTTCAAACAGGCCTCAGCACAGCAGCCAGGCTCTTTAGTGATTTCTCAAATCTGTGATTTTCTGCTTTGGACACTAGAGAGCAATGATGTGTTTGTGCTACATTTGACAACATATTCAGAACATCATACTGTGTGTGTGTGTGTGTGTGTGTGTGTGTGTGAGATACAGTAATCACTGTGCAATGCAATTGATATCCATTTCAATTTCCTCAAATGAACATATGAACAATTTCCATATGTTTCTGGATGCTATGATATTGGGGAACCACAAAATGAGAAAATAAATAAATAAATAAAAGCCTATACACCACAATAACACCAAAAGATTGAATACAAACAGTGAAAACATAAAAGAGAGACAGCCTACCAGAAAAACACAAAGCACTAGTCAGTGTCCATTATTCAGCTCTATCATCAGTTCAAGTAGATTTGATCACCGTTTTTTGGGCACATTTTCATACACAGCGTCCGACTTTGATATCTGCAAGGAAACACAAACTCAGTCAGGAATCTGAAACTAGTAATATAATTTTTCTTCAAATTCTCTGGAGTGGAAATTAACTGCAGATCAAGCCCTCTATGTTGAGCAGAATTTTTTTTATTTTATAATTGACTTAATTGAATATTTCTGAATGTCACGATTATTTCACAATGCACAACTGTATAGCATCAACAAAGAAGCACAAGAAGAGCATCTAGAGGAAACTGATGGATTTGATGTGTGTATTTTAATCTGGACAATATCTATTAGTTAGTGTTGCTTATCTGCGGACGGATCAGTGTTTGCCCCTCTATTGTTACCACTAGCACTTAACTCTGTTGCAATGCTGTCCCTTATCGGTGAAAATCTGTAACTCATTCAAATGAATGACGTCCTATCACTTCACTGATAATCACTATGAAGACAAGTTTCTCATCAAGTCTTTTCAACCACAGCAAACACATAAGTCTCTCATTTTATCTCACGATGGATAAAATCATGTATGACCATAGTGTTTTATCTCATAGTAATGTGTATGACCAAAGTAAAATAATAAATGAATTACTTAAAAAGGGAAAGAAAACTCGTTGTGGTAGGCAGAATGCTGGGGACTGACAATCACCTTATGTTAAAAAGATGCATTGAATGTGAATGTACATGACAGAGGAACTTTCTGTTAATACATTTAAATTCATGCTAATTAACTTTTTTAGGTCTGCAAAAATGAAAATAGCCCTGCAAAATGGATTTACTGTATATTAATATTTACAATAAGGTGCAAACAGTAAACGCACTTAATGTAAACTGGTTAAAACATGCTTAAAACTGCTCAAACCCACATCTGTTCACTGACCTTCTGATGCACGTTACACACAAAACTTCTAACAGCTGCTTCAATCACACTAACAGACCGCATCACATCTTCTTGCAACACAGTCATGAATGATTTTACCTTTTTTCGTGTTGTTGGTTTTCTCAACGCTGAATCAGTTCTGTCTTCATTCCAGGTCTCAGCTGCATTATAGCATTGAAAAACAACAAAGATTGCGTACTTATATAGTAATATGTATATCTGATTCAAATGAACTGATGGTAGTTAATATTTGTTGCTCAATTGAATTCCTGACCTGTTTTTCTACATTTCCTGCAGATGCAGCACATCATGACTGCAGCTACAATCAATGATCCAGCAGCAGAAATCAACACTATGTAAAATAAGGGTAGGCCTTGATCTGTAATGGACAAAATAATTCTGTCAGTCTGATCTCAAACAAGACTGAGACCTCAGTTATCGTTTTTTTTAAATGAAAAACAGAGATCAGCTCGGTAAATAATCATTAACATCACTGCTGACTTACCTTGACAGAGTTTGCTGATGTTCAGGTGTTGAGTCTGGTTGCTGATGGGATTGTTGAGCACACAGCTGTAGGTGTTTTTATCCTGATATTCCACCTCCAGAACAATATTTTCGGTGTAGTATGTCCACAGTCAGTGAGTGTTTCTGTGATCTCAAACTATAAAATGATTAAACGTTTCAGTATGTAAATAGCTAAAGGAATATTCAGTACAGCTCAATCTTAAGCATCTGAGGTCTAATGCTTATTAAAACCACAAACATTTATTTTCAGAATATAAAAGCAAAAATGTTTGACATAAACTTACACTTACAGTGTAAGTAAATGTGTCCTATCCATAAATGTGAAATGCTCAAAGTTTTAATAGTGCATCTGCGATACTTAAACAATTTTCATGCTATCATGATTTTAGTCTGAAAAATCACTTAACTAACCTACTTAACTAACCTTTTCTGTGTAAAGTCAAGTTGACCATAAAATACTAAAACGACTGTAAAAGTGCTTTAAAGGGGACATTGGATGCCCATTTTCCACAAGTTGGTATGATTCTTTAGGGTCTTCATAAAATGTCTGTAACATACTTTGGTTAAAAACCACTCTGTTTAAAACAGCTCTGTTCACAGCAGCCTGTTTTGGTGCATGTCTCTTTAAATGATAATTAGCTACTGTTTGCCCTGCCCCTCTCCACTGTGGCCTGTGTTGACCAGTCTATGGGCGAATTCCAAACGGAAGTGAGTATGCCTATGCCCTACTCCCTTCGAATTGTGTTCTTTGAAGGGTGTAGGGCATTACTGTCTTGTTTAAGCATATGGAACTCCCTTGGCCAAGGGAATGACTGACCAAATTTTACCTTGACAACTCTGCGCGTGCGTACAGCATTCAGCGCTCCATCAGCTGTTGCAAATAAATATTTCGTATTATTTTTATTTTATTCAAATATGATCTAATTGTGTCTTATTACTATTAAACTTTTTTAAGCTAAACTTGCTTAAACCTGCTTTAACTACCATCTTAATTCATATTTATATCACTGACGAAAAATGTTTTGTATTACATTAAAATAAAGACAGTTTTAATTAGCCTATTCTACTTACGTTTGTATGTGAAGTCGAAATCAACTACAACTTTGCTTTAAAAGCAAGATCTCCTAACCGAAGATCACATGATCACAAACGGAAATCACTTCCGTGAAGTGACCATCGCATGTTCTCTTTGCTAACGGACTTCTGGAAGGGCCTTTTGTGAAGGGATTCAGTTGTTCACTTTCGTTTGGAACATCCCTACAAATGGCATCTCATTCCTGAAGTGTCCATCAAGGGCGCAAAAAAGCCATTTGGAATTTGCCCTATGGTGTTGAAACAAGACAAGTGAACAGATTCTGTATATGGCTCTGAGGAGTTCTTATTTAAATAGCTAGCTATCTACATAGAAACCGGCTGCAAATTGAAACATCTCTCTGAATGACAGTGTTTCAGACTCAGACGGCCCATAACGAACTGGCTTCTGGGTCAAAAACCTCTGTCAGATGCCACAAATGGTGCTAATATGCACTCACAATGTAATGTAATGCCATGGCCTACTATTTAAAATCATTATCATAACCTTTATCTCCAATGGCCAGACAGTGACTCATCTTTTGTAAATCGTTAAAATATTCAGGTCTGGGACACCGTGAGAATGCTTAACTTAAATGTGTGATATAAATAAATAGTGCTCATAAACGGCTGTTGAGATAGTATTTTCAAGTGAAACAAGTAGAGACTTAGACCTGGAAACAGTATTTTTGCATCACAACTTTACAAGCGGACTACATATAACCTTCACAGTGTCAGCTTTTTAATAATTAAAAAGTTGACCCTGTTAACTACCATGTAAGTGCCTCGCCATAATCTTGTAATCAACCTTATGCCACAAGTGCTGTCAAATAAGCAAGAATTATATTAAACCCAATATATATATATATTTTTAGTAAAACAAGACTCACCATAGATGGAAACACTGAATGTTTTTGATAACAACTTATCTCCACTTATCTGTAGTTTATAGTGTCCAGCATGTTCAATTATGACGTCTGTGATGGTCAGAGATTCAGTCTGATTGTCCAGCTTCAGTCTGTTTCTGAATCTCCCATCAAGAACATCAAATGTGGAGAAGATTTGGTCCTCTCTACTGATTTCAGCTATGAGAGAATCTTCAGCTCCAAATTTCCACAGTATGTCGTCATCTTCATGTATTTCAGTAACATCAGAGTTTAGAGTGACAGAATCTCCCTCCATCACTGACACTGACTCACCAAACACACCTGAGGAACAAACTGGAACAGATTTCACACTTTTGTTGGTTTACAAAGCCTGAAGTCAGTTCTTGTTTCTAAATGTGAACTGAGGAATGTCTCAAATGGCAACAGAAAAGCAAAAGGAAACGCATTGGCAACAGATTAAAGATTGTTGTGTAAACTAATAATTCAGTCTTTAAGGTGTTATCTGCCTGTAACTTCACATTTATTTTGCAGTCGAGTGAAAGGAGA